TCCCGTACTGCTCGTTTCCATTCGTCACACGTTTTTTCAGAATTATTCAGGCCATTAAACCATACTTTGACTGCAAACAATAAGATTTTGTCGGATCGTCCCAACCATGAATTGTACCCAACTGTTCGATTTTGTTCAACCATTGACTGACGCTGACATCACTTTTTTCTGGATCGAAAACTGGAACAATATCGTTCTTAATAGAAAATTGCGTGTGACTGAATGGATTCGAGGGATTGCTAATATTTTGTGGTATTTGGCTCACTATTTCAGCTACTTTTCTCTTGATGATTTCTTCTATCCTCATTTTCTTAGATTTCCGGCTAGTTTTGTTTCTAGGGCGCTCTTCCTCATGAGATGAACTCGTATCATCACTAATCTCTTCCGAACTTGAGGCGACATTTCAGTTTGAATTTTCCACTCGATGCTTCGGATTACGGAGTCTTCTACACGCACTAGAATCACTAATATCAATGTCAATTTCCTCCATTTATCCTCACTTCTGAATTATTCCGGTTATTTCAGGGTTTGAAATGAACATTTGATTGGGCGTCACTTATTTCCTTTTATTTGACGATGCTCACGCCAGTACACAACGAACACTAATGAATCACATTCTTGAAGCAATATCAACCGTTTCTTACGATTATACAACATCAAACATGATTCGAAGATACCGCTGATGATTCACCCATAAAAAATGTATTATAATATACCGAATGTATCCATTCGATTTACCAGTATGTCAATAAAAGTAACCTATAATAATAAGAATTAACAAAAATAATGAAAATAATGATAAAAATCTTTGAAATGATCATGATAAATAATCCTAGCATTAACTATAACATATGTATAATAAGTTGAGGCGTTACAGAAAATATGAAATTGAAGGGTATGGGGTATGGGCCAATACGCGGTCTCGACGCTCTCAGGGATATCTTTGAAGGGGACAGGGTTATTCAATACATAATTTTCGTTAGATTCCAACCTTTCTAAATATTCATTTCACACAAACTAAAATGACAAAAAAGCACAATGAGAAAACGATCCAAAATTACGCGGTGGAGCAGATGGGGTTAGAAAAACAAGACTAACAAAATATCATGAAAAACTCACCTAAAGGTGCAGACCGCACTATCAAAAAAACCATTAGATAGTCTCAAAGCCAGGAAGCACTCCTGTTTTTGATAAGGAAAGAATTTTAGAAAAATGTTACCCCCAAAAGTAAGGAAAAAACAGCACAACTTAAGCTGCAAAAAATCCAGAGACTCGCGTGTCTTGGGATCACAGGGGCTATGCGTACGTGCCCTACTGCAGCAATGGAAGCTATGCTTGACCTACTACCCTTGCATATTTTTATCAAGAGGACTGCAGCTCTCAGTGCATACAGACTGAACTCCACTGAATTGGCCAGACCAGGTGATGTCACTGGTCACATGGTCATTCTACAAAGAAGTACAAATGAAATCTGCAACCAAACCATCGGACATAATGCCAGCCAGGCTCAGTTTAGATCATACCTTTGAAGTGGTTATAAAAAGCCGCCCTAGGTACGGTTCCGCTGAGCCTCAGCTGGACAGAGGTTCCCTTGTTTGGTACACCGATGGTTCGAAAATGGAAGAAGGGGTAGGCGCGGGTGTATATAGACCCGGATGTAGGCTATTTGAAGCCTTAGGTCACTCCCCCACTATCTTCCAAGCTGAAATACATGCCATCAACCTTTGCGCCCAAAGGTGCCTGAGCAAAGGTCTGAGGGGTGCCAACATATATATCTGCTCAGACAGCCAAGCCGCACTAAAAGCCCTAAAATCATTCGTTTTCACATCAAAGATTACATGGGACTGCTTTGAAACACTCATGCAACTGGGAAAGTGACAACAAAGTCACACTTATGTGGGTTCCAGGGCATGAAGGAATCGAAGGAAATGAGGCAGCTGATCGCCTTGCAAAAAAAGGTGCAGCATCTGCACTTTTTGGTGCTGAGCCTTTTTGTGGGATAAGCAAATGTCACCTAAGGGGAGAACTCGGGAAATGGGAAGAAATTGAAAAGTCCTCCTACTGGAGAGCAACTCCAGGTCAACGACAAGCGAAAAGGTTCATCAACCATTCGCAGAACCGAGCCAAAGAGCTACTCAGCCTCAGCAAACCAGAGCTAAAGCTTATCACAGGCTTTCTCACAGGACACGGCCCTCTGAGGTACCACCTCAAAAATATGGGTCTGGCGGAGACTGACACTTGCCGCTTTTGTAACAATGCGACCGAAACCGCGGAACACATACTTTGCTCATGTGAAGTATTAGTCCGCCAAAGGCTGAACCACCTAGAACAGGTCTATCTCACCCCTGCTGAGGTGGAAAATTCAACCGTCAGGAAAATCGTAGGCTTCATCAGAAGTCTAGGGTTAGAGGACCAAAACTAGATAGGGGTAATCACAATAGATCTTCTAGGTCGCAGTGATCGAGAGGTCTCTCAGCCTATACGACCCATCTACAATCTACCCCCTTGTTCATACGAAGTAAAATGTGGAAAGGGGCGCCAAAACTTGACAACCTCGACAAGCTGACACGTTAATTGGGAACTATCGACGTGACAGTACCTGGACCTGCGCATAAAGCTTAGTTTATTGCTGAGCGATTGTAGCTTTGGCGATGCTAGCGATTGATCCTGGTGGCGTTATTATTGGTCAATTTGAATTGGTGAGCTACTATTGACCAATAATATCATTATAGGTTTCACCGCTAGCATCGTCAAAGCCAAAATCGCCCAGCAGTAAATCAAGCATAATTCCAAAACCTACCACACCGTGTCTAGTTGACCGAATGTCGGCAATCTACATCGTTACAGGTATTTGAGTGATGATTCTATATACAGTGTGTCCCACTTACCATGCTCACCATGGGTATCTTTTTAACGGTGAGAGATAAGAGGTCGGTTAAATGACACCAAATGTGGAGTTTGTCAAGGCCAACTATAATGTGAAAAAATATTTTGATAAAATCTATTCGTTTTTGTTTTATACGCAAAAAACAGATTTTGATCATTTTCATGTCTCCTCCGTAACTTCTTTATTTATGAAAATATTCAAATAGTAATTTCACATTCTCATGGCAGTTTTTCGAAGTGATTTCGAAAAAAATATGGAATTTATACCAACTCTTCTAGAATTTGAGATATCAGCACCAACTTTAGTTTTTCAAATGTAGGTCATAGCTCACTATAACTTAGTTACAAATAACTTTTTTTTCTCTTACCGATGATATGTCGCAGTAATAGTTTTGTGTTGATAGCAACGGAGTTATCGTCATTTATACAAAAACAAAAAATTATTTGGAAGCCGCCATCTTGAATTTATAAATTTTAACAAAAAAATCATGATCTCCGACCTCTGAAACCCCCACTTACCAATTTTGAATGGAATCGGACCAAATCTTGTCCGCCATCTTGGAGCAGCCATTTTTTTTTAATTTCAACAAAAATTCCATAACTCTGCTTAACTTGAAAGTTGGCCGGTGTTCATGATTTCGGTGACAATACATTATGGAATTTTTGTTGAAATTGAAAAAAATGCCTGCTCCAAGATGGCGGACAAGATTTGGTCCGATTCCATTCAAAATTGGTAAGTGGGGGTTTCTGAGGTCGGAAATTCATAAATTCAATATGGCGGCTTCCAAAAATTTTTTTGTTTTTGTATAAATGACGATAACTCCGTTGCTATCAACACAAAACTATTACTGCGACATATTATCATCGGTAAGAGAAGAAAAAGTTATTTGTAACTAAGTTATAGTGAGCTATGACCTATATTAAAAAAGTGTTTAAAAGTGTTTTAAAAGTGTTTTTAACCGCCAGCTTAGTTGCAAAGCAACCCTCGAAAGTCAGAGACTTGTGTGAGTTAAGAAGACGGGGACCTTAGCTTTTTAAGTGTCATCCGAAGCACTACTCGGCTGGTAACCGTGGACAGTCCAAAGGATTGATATCTAGGTACCAAGAATGTTGGGTTGGCCACCTATCTCCTCCCGCCCAACGAAACTACCGAAAATTAATTCAGTGCTCGCGCCGGGGATCGAACCCGGACCGCCTGGGCAACAGCCAGCGACTCTACGCTCACGGCCACCAGCCCAGCTATATTTGAAAAACTAAAGTTGGTGCTGATACTCAAATTCTAGAAGAGTTGGTGTAAATTTCATATTATTTTCGAAATCACTTTGAAAAACTGACATGAGAATGTGAAATTCCTATTTGAATATTTACATAAATAAAGAAGTTACGGAGGAGACATGAAGATGATCAAAATCTGTTTTTTGCGTATAAAACAAAAACGAATAGATTTTATTAGAATATTTTTTCACATTATAGTTGGCCTTGACAAACTCCACATTTGGTGTCATTTAACCGACCTCGTACCTCTCACCGTTAAAAAGATACCCATGGTGAGCATGGTAAGTGGGACACACTGTATAAATAAAAAAAAATAGTCCACTCGACTATTACTCCACTATGTCCACTGTGACGCGTTTTTGATGTGTATAATGTGTCTATGGGTTGTTTGAAGTTGTTGAATTTCTAAGCTCATTTCAAATGTGCCGTCATGGCCGCCATTTGGACATTTTCTCGAATACGTCGGTTATATGGTGACGTCAGTTATTATGCCGTTTCATTATTGTCAGATAATCTCCCATTCTCACTCATAGAGCAAGGTTGTCGGATCACCAATTATAATTAAGTCATTAAAAAGTTGTTGAACCATTGAATAAAACTACATCCAAATAACATATTCCATTTGACCTGATAAGAGGAAGCCATGATATTATTATTATAGTTATTAATTTGTGACTTCTGTCAAAATATTTGTTATACTCCATAACAAATAAACATCATGTAAATATTGGCTATAGAGATTTGGGAATGCTGTGCTGAATGCTGAGAATTTTTTTCATCTCTTGGAGCGCGCGGATTTTTTTTTAATGAGTGAAGAAACCGACTCCATCTGCATTAATTTCTTATTGTAAATGATATATCAATATTTTTCATAATTTATCATTTTATTAAAAATATAAATAAAAAAGAACAAGAGAATCTTGATGAAAAAGTCTTAAGTTTACAACAATAACAACACACTTATCAACTTCTTCAACACAATATAATGATTCATACATCGGAACATGAATTAAACGCTCAACTTCGGCTCCGTCGTATTGAAAACAATGTTATAAATTTCCTCAAAATTTGATACAAAGTGAACTTCCAAACCTTCCGTTATGAATTTCGGTAAGTCGTCGAAGTCTTTCTTGTTTTCATCAGGTAGAATTATGCATTTGACTCCAGATCGCTTTGCCTTGAAAGAAAAATATCAATGTCAAAACTCCCATCAAAATTATATAAAACGTCATCGTCAGTCAACCGAAATAATCATTTGAAATACATCAAACGTAATTCAAAGTTGATCGAGATACAGATCACATGAATTGTAATTCAAATGGAGTCATTAATAGTTCAGAATGGATAATTGAGCCCTTCCAGTAATTTCTAGAAAAAATATATCTCGAAATATACAGGGTCCTGCATCTTACCTCCCGTCTTCTATAGCTCAGTTATCAGTTGAATCAGGATTTCGTTATTTTGCAGACTTCAATTGTCTGATAGGGCAAAATGATTTCGTTTATACAGGGTGTCCCGAAAAAGTGTGACGTCATGATGATATATTTTTTAAATGGCATGCCATATATTTTGTTGCACATTTGCACATACTCCTGGAATTCAATTGAAATCGGTTCAGTGATATTCACGTAGAAAAAATAAAACAAAAAACTCAATTTTGCACCACTGGTCAAGAACATTAACAAAAAAGAGATTGCCTGGTCAATAGAATCATAAAAGATATGAAATAAGGCCTAAGAGGATCGCAAACAGTTTCATTGAAACGAATCATCACAGGGTGTGCGAAGCTTTATTTTGTTTTTTATTCTTTCTTTGATCCGATAAGAATTTCGATGGGGTTGTAATGAGAAAGTGTTTGTTTTATTCACGCATCGAATGACATGAGAATATACAGAGGCTCCAATTTGAAATGAGAAAAATATAGTGCTTTGGGATTTGAAAGGTTTGCACATCCTGTGATGATTCGTGTCAATCAAACTCGGTTAGCGATCCTCTTAGGCCTTATTTGATATGCATCTCTATTGAGCAGGAACTCTCTTTTTTGTTAATGTTTTTGACCAGTGGTGCAAAATAAAATTGTTTTGTTATATTATTTTAACGTGAATATCACTGAACCTAAATTTCAGGAGTATGTAGGTAACCACTAGAAGCACTCAAATGAGCAACAAAATATATGGCATGCCACCCTGTATAATCGAAATTATTTTCCTGGTATCCGCTCTATGTGACAAAGTCTGCAAATTATCAAAATCCTGACTCAACTGATTACTGAGCTATAGAAGACCGGAGGTGAGATGCAGGACCCTGTATGGCTCTGGAATATCTTAATAAATTTATGAGATGTCTTTCCCATTAATTATTCGTTTGAAAAACTATTGAAACAAGCAAAATAAATGATCGAATGTGAGCGAGCAATCTAGATTGGTAATGCCCTCACCTTCTCGCGGATGCCATTAAAATGCACAATGGACTCGACAATGATGTCAACTTGAACAGAAAGCAATGATTAGTCGGATATTTATTTCTTGATTTCTCCATTTCAGCAAATAATACAGATGCTGTTAGACAACTCAATAATACCTACCTACATGAACATTCATGGTACTGAAAAATTGCATTGCATAATTACACTACACACTGTTTTACCACTAACAAAATCGATTTTTTACACCTCAACATGCGTTTCGCTAGCTATGTTAGCATCTTCAGAAGAAGATTGAAACTAAATGCTCTATCCTAGTGAGCTACTTATATACTAGTTATATGCCCACCCAACCGTGAATAGACAATAACCGCCAAGTTAATGTTATTCATGGTTGACTTCACATGTTGAACTTAGTCTTATATTACTGAACTATACGAATGGCTGAATGGGATGTCCATTATCCTTACTCATTACTCTATAACTATTCTTGAATATCTCTAAACTTTCATATGCATCTAATTTCCTAACATTATCAACTTGTTCAACTAATTTGAGGCTATTGATATGTGTGTTATAATTGTGATTTAACATGTGTTCGGCTACACACGATTTATCCAACCTACCATATTTCAAATGTGCTAAGTGTTCATTAAACCTTGTTTTTATGGGACGCCTGGTTTGGCCTATGTGTGTTTTATCACAAGCATCACAACGGATATTCCTTCCTTTTCAAATGTGTCCATTTTATCTTTTGGATTACCTAATAAATTGCCTAACTTTGACCCGTTCATCACGCTTTCAAAACCTAATTCTTTGAAAATCTTAGCAAGTCCTCTTGTGTACTTGGGATTGAAAGGGATTTGGATTTTTCTCGGATTGTTTTTTTCCGCTTGAAAAGTCGAAGAATTCCTGAGTGATAACTTAAACTTATCATATTGATGGTAATTTATATCAGTCTGAATTTGGTAAGAATCACAAGATTGATAGCCGAGATATAGAGGAGGTCCGTTTTAAAGTGATATACTTATTCACTACTAAAATACGAGTACAAAAAAGGTACATTCAATATCACTTGAGAAACACTCTGTAGCTCACTTCTGTCAACACATGTAGTCAATGTAGTAGTTAGATTACAAGAGAGTTTTTTGGTAAGCATAATTTTCAAGAAAACATTGAATATCTCGGAAAAAACAATCAGTCAAGTCACAAAAATGATTATATAAATCGTTATCATCATAATGCTACTCACAGCTATCGTTTTCTCTTTGATCCCTCCCACCGGAAGGACTTTCCCCATCAGGGAGATCTCTCCTGTCATCGCGACATCTTGCCTGATCGACTGACTTTTCGCCAAGGACAATAAAGCGGTCACGATCGTACAACCCGCACTAGGTCCATCTTTGGGGGTGGCACCTTCTGGAACGTGCAGATGTAAATGACTGAAAAAAAACAAGGCTCTAATTTCTTCAACATGAGTCTCGCGGTTCGGAGCATCACCCCTTTCTTGTTTTCAAATTGACGAAGGAATGATCACCTTACTTCTTCCGAAGTATGTGGAGAACTAATTTATTAGGAAAATGATGTTTTAATAAACTTCAGCAGCACTAGAGGTCATTCTGGACCTCACATCGCTCCACATTATGGTGAGGAGAACTGCTTGAAGCAGAGGTTGGATAAGACCGGACTCCAAGAGAAAGCAAGCAGGAAGTTCAGTTTTGGATACAAATTTCGAACGGAACTAAATACCAAGAGAGGTCCTAAAGTTTTTCAAGCAGAAATTCACGCAACAAAAAGGTGCATGCAGTTCAACTTCAACAGAAAATACCGGAACAAGAAAATCGCTATCCTCTCTAATAGCCAAGCAGCCACCAAGGCGTTGAGCTCTACTGAATTCAACTCAAAGATAGTTTGAGAATGCCAAATTAATAATCTAGGCAGAAACAACAAGGTAATCCTCTTCTGGGTGTCGGGGCTCATAGGAGTGCAGGGCAATGAATAAGCAGACATTCTGGCACGAAAAACACCACTGATCTGACCAGAACCATTCTGTACCTTTGGAAATTCTTTTTCCCAAGGAGAACTTGAAGCTGAAGACGCAATAAGAGCAACACATTGGCAAAGACTTCCAGGACTGCGGCAGGCTGAAGATCTCCTCGGCAATTTCAACCAAGCAAGATTGAAGACACTGATTAAACTCAACAAGATTAGTCTTCAGGCAATAACAGGATTTATAACTTGGCATTATACAGTGTGTCCATTTAGTGCGTAATTCTTCGATATCTCGAAAGCCATAACCTATAGAGAAAAACATTAGAAAAAAAACTCTTTCAGTTACTAAAGTTGCTCATTTCAAAATTATTTTCAACTTTACTGGGTGCTTTATAAAAGCAGGGCGACTCGAAGAAGAGTTTTTTTAAATGGAACACCCAGTATTGTTCATTCGGAATTCATTCCGCCGAGGTTCACCTTCACATCGCTGTAAAAAAAATTGAAATCGGTTGCGGCGTTGCCAAGTTATAATTGATAAATCTATTTTTACCATTATTGAAGAGTCATGTTGAATTGGGCATGGTATATTCATTTATTCAAATTTTGAGAATATTTTTGGCATACGGTAGGAGCAAGGTCCCACGTATACCAATCCAGTAATTTTGCGACATGTTCTTCAACAGGGTGCTCAATTTTGCATTTAGAATTTTGCAAGATTCAGATGACATTCATCAGAGTTTTTCAAATGGAACACCCTGTATTTTTATTCAACAATTCATTCCGACATCTTTCGCCTTTTTATCGCTGAAAAAAAAATCGGAATCGGTTGCGGTGTTGTCAAGTTATGGATAATTTCCTTATTTTTACTACTATTTCGGGGTAATTTGTACGTCATAGTTCTTTCATTTATTTGTATTGTGGAAATATTGCGTTGCTACGGTATACTCAAATTTGTTCATCGACCATTCATATATTCTTTTACGAAAGGAATATTTACAAGCTCTCCAAGTTTGAATTTTCTTCGAAATATTTGTGTGATGACCTGTCAAACATCGCCACAATCAAATATATCTTGGATTGATTCGACATTTTGCTGAATTCCCTCCCAAAAGCCGCGTAGTAGAGATATATTGTTTGTATCATTATGTTTACCCTCTTCAAGTTAAATCAAGATTTGGATTGTGGTAATAACGACAATGAAAATGGACCAAATTTCAAAAAAATTTGCTAATTTTCGCAATCGGCATCTTCATTCTTTGAATTGTAGAAGTTGTTTCAAAGACAGGCGTGCTTTTGGCATGTTTGTTTGTTTCACATATTATTTGAATCATAAGAAACAAGATAACGGAATATTTCAAATTTGGACGATGCACATATCACAAAAATACCTGAATGATCTATGAAGAACCTCGAATGTCATGTGGCAAGCAATATTCCCACACTCAAATCAAATTGGAACCATCATGACGTACAAATTACCCCGAAATAGTAGTAAAAATAAGGAAATTACTCATAACTTGAAAACGCCGCAACCGATTTTGATTTTTTCTTCTGCGATTAAAAGGCGAATGATGTCGAAATAAATCTGTTATGAAAAATACAGGGTGTTCCATTTGAAAAATTCTTATGATCGTCGTCTGAATCTTACAATATTCAGAATGTGAATTTTAGCACCCTGTAGAGGATTATCTCGCAAGATTACTGGATTGGTATACGTGAGACCTTGCTACTACTGTATGCCAAAAATATTTTCGAAATTTCAATAAATAAATATACCATACCCAATTGAACATGACCCTTCAATAGTAGTAAAAATGGGTTCATCAATTATAACTTGGCAACGCCGCAGCCGAATTCAATTTTTTTCACAGCGATGTAGAGCTGAACTTGAGCGAAATAAATTTTGAATGAACAATACTGGGTGTTCCATTTGAAAAAACTCGTCTTCGAGTTGCCCCGCTTTTATAAAACACCCAGTGTTGTTGGAAATATTTTCGAAATGAGCAACTTCAGTAACTGAAGATATTTTTTCTCCAAAGTTTTTTTCTTGTGATAATTGATTTCGAGATATCGAAGAATTACGCACTAAATGGACACACTGTAGACTCCAAGAACCCGTAAAAAAGCTAGGCTTAGAGGAGGAGCACCTGCATATGTTGCGGGAACACCCAGAGAAACATCCCACCACATCTTGCTGGTGTACAATGTACATCACAAAAGATCGAATACATTGGGATCATACCAGCTGACTGTGGAAGAAATACCATGAACAAATGCCCACCAAATCCTACAATTCCTGATGGAATTGGAGCTTGAGGGGGCTACTTAAAACAAGGACATCGTTGATAGCAGAAGAAGATGGGGTACAACAGACCTAATTCTAATCAGGTCCCAGTGCATTTGTCACCATACACACCTTTTTTATCGCTGGGTGCGCACGAAAGGGAATCCCTACAATACTTATCAACTTTCAATTTCATCCTTCATCCTATTTTGTGCAAAGCGCCTACTCCAGTAATAACAATTTGATTGAAATCCCAAAGGCCATAAAAGATAATGATATGAAGAAAAACGTACTGACTGATCAAAGTAGGTAATATATTATGGGGAACAACTCTGCATATTAGAATAATATTCCCCTGAGAGGAGCTAGAACATCATTCAGTTGGCAAGACTCCACCAATTTCCCGGTATCATACGTTCCAGATTGTTCTCGAATCTCAATAATTCTAACATGAACAACATGAACCAGCGTAATTCTGAACTTCCAATAATATAGAACGTGGCGACGAAAGATTATTGAACGTTCGATGTTTGGATCGATAAGAACATTAGAGAGAAATGTGTTCTATGAACAATAGAAGTCAGGGTCAGTGAGACGGCCGCGTATACCATGCTGTCTCTTTTCAAACACTGGAAATGAATTCTAGTGATAAGTTCTTATATAAGTGTTCCTTCTAATGAATCAGTTCATAAGTAAATAGAGTAAGTGGTTACTTCGGTCACGAATAAGGTGAAAAAATATAAAAAGCCTGGTTTTGGTCTAAGTTTGGTAATGATGAGTACTCACTTTGTGAATAAAAAGTTGTTTGAAGGATCATGTTTGTTCAAGAAATTCCTTGCAACCGTCAGTGCTATTTTGGCAGATTCTTTCATCACCTCCCCCAGATGCCCTGTAAGTTCCAGAGAACCTTCCGTGTCCTTTTCCGAGGGCAACCGACGAGTGGTAGTCTCGATGTACAGAGTGGACCCACCTAGAGAGGGCGAGAACTATGCAGGGTGTTTTCCAAGGTAGGGTATTTATTTTGAGAGATCGTAGAACTCGTGAAAATTGAGGTTACTTGATGGATTCGACGACGCGGTGACCAAAGTTGTTTCTCGATATTAGTACAGGGTGGGCATAATTCGATGTTAGTATGGGGTAACTAATGATAAGAGACACAAATAAATACAGTCTGTATATTATTTCTTTGCGCGAACGTCACAACTTCAAAAGTCGAATCAAATCAATTCAGGGTCATATGTTAAGCAGTGCCGTGCTGTTTCAGGAATTGGGTTTAAATAAATAACAATATTTAGAAACAAAATTTCACTACTACAGGTAATTTTGACCTAAAAACATTCGATAAAACATAGGATTGGTATATATTTCAAGTTTGAAGTCTTGAATTCGTCAATTTATTGAAGGCAACAACATGTATCAGAACTATGGTATGTATATACGTATGGGTCGGTATAGAGACAGAGAGAGAGCGCATACTTTATTGTCATGAGAATAATCTTGTGGACAAGGTTTAACTAACTTAATCTATAATGTAATATTAATATTATTATGTGAAAGTGCTTTTAAATTAATTAATATAATAAGCATATATACGTCACATTGAGTGTACCACAAACAAAATTTTAAATATAGCATTGAATTCAGGGATTATCATCATAAAATTCTTGTACATTATAGTATGGCCTATCACTTAAAAAACATTTCAAAGCCTTCTTGAAGCATTGTAAAGATTGTATTTCTGTTATATTCTTTGGCAACTGGTTTAACACTTTCCAACCATTATAGACAATGGAATACTGTATGACTGATATCATTGGTATTGGCAACTTAATGTTGTTGCATTGACTTGTCACATAATGGGTTGGTGAGGACGATTGAAATTCCTTGAAATATTTGTTAATTAAACATATGACCCGATATACACACCTATTTAATGCTTTTGTGAGGTATTTTGTGGTTGCAGCAAAGCCGAACACTGTTGAGTTGTTTTTAGTTATTTGGTATATTACTATATCATTATTACTATGTACTGAAGTATACGCATATGTCTCTAGCGTACAGTGAAATAGAAAAATTTACACGAGACTGACTGATGTGAACTGATGTATGCCATGATCTCATCTTATTCCCTTTCAATACTCAAAACTGCCCGCAGACTTATGTTGAGGGCATCAGCGACACGCTAAAATTATGCACATCATGATGATATTCTTGGAGTAAGATCGGACTATTTTTATTATTGATCAGGAAGAATTGTGATTCTCCTGTTGCATGGAAGTGAACGGGATTAAAGGGCCATTATTATCTTTCTCTTTTGTGAAATATTGTAACAAATTCGATACAAGACTTTGTGCTTGCGAATTCAAACGTCTTCTTGGCATGTTGAATATTTGGCGATGGCCACGCGAAACGATGTCATTTCAGTACCTACTGCACGCCTCTGAATCAGCAAATGTGTCTGGAAGTATGAACACATTTGTATTCAAGCTTTTAACCCGTTGAGTTCAAAAGCGATGTCGTATGTTATGTCAACAAACGTCATGATAGACATTGCTGCCCTATATGCAAGTCTGAAGAGGAAAGCAAGTTGCACGTAGGTCTATGCTTATTTCATTCACACGCAGACATATTATACAGACCGTATAACTGACATTTTCGTCTCTTCTGTTGATACTAATAATAATAATAATAATATTTATTGATCCTGTAGGACATTTTTACAATGTATAGGATAAGTCAGAAAGAATGAGACACTTGAACATGAAATCAGTCACTATACTGGATTTGAATCTAACATTATATTTCTCTGTCCGAGAAGTACTCCTGGATACTGTAATAACATTTTCTCAACAGTAGTTCTTTTACAGATTTTTTGAAGAGGTTATCATTGTGAAGTTTGTAGCTACTGGCAAGATGGTTATACATTTTTATTCCCATATATGAAATGCAATTTTCAAATTTTTTGGTTTTGTGTTTAGGGATAGATAAAAAGTCAGAGTGTCTGGTTTCGTAATTATGTAATGATGACTTTTTGGTATATATGGATAAATTTTCCCTCACATACAGCAGGCTTCTGTATATGTAGATGCATGGAAAAGACATGAGGTTATATTTGATAAAGACCTGCTTTTGCAAGAATCATGAGGATGCATGTTAAAAATATTCCTTATGATTTTTTTTTTGAGCAACAAATATTTTCTGCCTATCTATAGACTGACCCCATAAGACAATGTTATAGGTCAGATTGCTGTATGCGAGGCTGTAATAGACATTCAATAAGGCATCTGTGGGCAAAAAATGTTTTATCCGCGAAATCGCAAAGTAGGTTGAATTGAGTTTTTTCACTAAGTGCGTTATGTGATCAGTCCACCTCAGATTGTGATCAACATAGACTCCTAGGAATTTAGTACAAGTTGTTGATGTTATTTGTGTGTCTCTTATATTGAGAAATAGCAATTCATTACTTGGAGCATTATGTGAATGAAAGTAAATGCATTTTCAGTTTTGCCCAAGTTCAGAATCAATCCATTTCTGTTACACCAGCCGCAAAACTTCAGAATGACGTCCTCAACTAATCCTTGATACTAATAGAGTGGTGGAAACGAAATATCATCTATTGTTTTTGAGTTATAAACAATAGTTCGATTTTTCGACTTCTTAACAAATGTGAATATCCTATTTGTTCGTGAAATTAGGAAAAAATCACTTCAAGATTCCTAGGACATTTTTTTTTTATAAAACCCAATGACAATAAGAACATTTAGAAAAAAAGGTTCAATTTCGAGTTATAACAAAGTATTTTTTCAATTTGTTGACAATCAATTGAATGTTTTTTAGGCACTCTAATTTCAAAAACCAGTGACATTTTGGAACAAATCACCTGTTTATAATATAAGAAATTGTTTTGAATGTACTATCAATCACAGAAAAGCCGGGGTAGAAATCTGAACATAGATTTATTTTTAGGAGTTCTGGGAACATCCTATTTATAAACTATGCTACAATCGAAGTGGACGATTCAAATGCCGATGACCTGAGAATTTATCGACAGGTTGTCTTTTATGTGTACAGTGTGACCAACTTGAGAAATGAATCACCACCGTTGAAATTTTTATTCATTATCCTATTTAAAATTTTTTTTTAGATAAAAAAGCATGAAAACATACTACAGGACGAAGTGTCACATTTTTAAAACAAAACATGAACCCTACAATAACGTACATTCTTGAACATTCTGGAAGAGCAACTGAAATTAAACGAATGAGGGCTGACATATTTGATTGTCCACCAGATGGAGCTACTGAAACTAAAACTGTTAGCACTCATTGAACGAAAAAAAAAAAAGAAGTCAACTTCATGTGAACCTTGTACCGATGCTACTGTGTATGTTTTTGTAATTGTTGCTATTCAAAGATAACCATGCAAACAGGAATGGGTCCAAATTGAAAGAATTTTGAGAATCGACTCACCAAAAAATTATTAGTATTTTCTCAATATTTTTGAAAAATCTACCTATCAACCACATCATTATTTCGAAAACCCACCCTGTCATCTCATAGTATTTGAGAATAAATAAGAACGAGAAGGTGCCGGTCACCCTGTACAATTCAAAGTAAAAAAATCAAATTATTGAATCCTACCCATTGCAGTCCAAGCTAATCCCATAACCACCCCAGGTGGAGTTAACGGATACATCCTGTCGTGAGTGAAAACTGGTTTCCCAACAAATTCTTGTAAATTCTTTCCATCCACTTGCACGAAGGATGTCTCATCTTTGACCACTTTATAAGCCACTTTGCGCACAACCTTAAAAATATCAGCGATTATTTTTTGTTCACATGTCAAAATATGACACTTTGATTTCGACCAATAGCAATGCGTGATTCTAGCCAATCATTCGGTATTATACTGACAATACCACGACGAATATGAAATTGTCATCTACTGTGATATTCACCGCACTTGACGGCCACAGCCACAGTCGATGCGTTTGAATTACTTCCATGGGGCTCACATATACGTATTAATAATCAATACGGATAATCTCTATCTGTTTCCATAGCGAAACATGAAGCCGATTCTTGAAGACAAATGACTATCCACAAGGAAAAGTTTTGAAACGATCAGACACATACTGCTTTGATTGAAAGGCTAGTAAACGTCATTGTCCACCGAAACGCATGTCTTTGATGACTACTATAATAGCGCATGGCGCATGCGTATCATGCCACCAAATCCTTATGGATATTCATTTGCTTCATATTTTTGGCTTCATCCTGGCACCCGTTATGATCCGTATTGTTTATTAATACGTATATGGGGGCTCATTAGTCGCTTCTAAGTAGTAACTATCAGAAAAGATACGCCAGTGCATTTTTCTTCATCCATTCACTATTCTCCTACATTCAACATTGGAATATCAGCAAAAAATGATTCTTACTTCTTCGTACCTACTTTTTTTTGGACTCTTTCAATTCAAAAAAATAATCAAATGAATGATTCCTAATCATCGACTATCGAATCACCAGACATTCAGGCACCTTTTTCGGCGTATTATGGAGTCTGGACGTTCGATACTTTAAAAAAACTCCAGTGATAAGCAGACCGTTGACTTACTAGGACTCCAGAAATTGAAGAAGCTGTTCTTCAGGCAATCGAAAAAGAGTCACAGACAAGCACCAGAAAAATTGCGCAAAATCTTACGAGCCCCATGAAAATAATTCAAATGCATCGATTATTTCAAATCCCAATAACTGAAAAACAGTTGCTCGCAGCGACCTCTACCAAGAATATATTTTTCACACAAAAGTGATAAAACGTGATACAGGTACGCACAAAAAAGTTATGACTTCTCAAAAAAACTACACGTACTTAAGAAACACCCTGTATATGAGTTGGAAAATGCCATGTCATTAAATAGACGAAGGAAGTTGAAAGTGAAATGGTTGAAGTTATTGAATTCATAATTGAAGTAAGTGGACTCTCAAAGGCAAAAGCAAAATCAGTAGAAGTTAGAAGTGTTAGAACCAGAGGTGATGCATCAAATCTTATATATCCAATTCCTCTTATTTTCATCTCTAGTATCATCAGTATAAAGAATAATAGCGTTTTCCACTCGCCGATTCACAGAGCACACTGGCAGTTGGTGCCACTATCTAATCCTTGTCGTCAGAAATGCCAGAATTGCTTTGTCAATCAAAAAGTTGAATATTGATAGCAGATTGATAGTATCTACATTTGGTTTCGCTTGTCCACATAAAAGTCTCTTGTGGTTCCTCTGTGAGCACTGCCAGCAACAGTCTTATTGATATGTTGTATCATTAAATAAATAAATTTCCAAAACTCACTTCTTGAAAATGGTCTATTTAATACCCAAAAATACAACGTGTTGATCGATTCGAAGTTGCGATTAGAGAGAGAGAGAGAGATTGCTCGCTTGATCTTTTTCCGGAAATCCCACTATTCTATTCTATTACCAACTTATAACCACTAGAGGCGAGTTCGGAAATACGGAGTGGAGTCAGAGTAGGGTTAGAGTAGCATTTGCATGGATTCAGACCACGTGATTTGAAGAGTCGAGAGATCAGGTTGGGGTACTTCAAGCTTTCGCTCTTACCTTTGCTCCATGACACCGACAGCTCCTAACCTAACCTTACGAACACATTTATTGTGGTCTCAAACACATTCATCAATTTGTTTCCTATCAATATTTTATTTTCATTAGTCGCGTTAGGCAGAATATAAGAGATTATGAATTAGAAATGGAAATAGTATACGAAGTCTTACTTGCAGCGAGGTCATCAGCTCTCTCCGCAGACATTCCGCCAAATTCGTAAGGAGTACCGTTAACTATAATTGTAACTTTCTTCATTTTCAGAATAGCACTCGATAAAAGAACACAATTTTCAACTCGATTAACTATGAATAAAATTCGAATTTGAAAAGAAGGCGGAAGGCCAGACAGGATGAGCGTCAAAATTGGCGACGTCTGACGTTTATTTTGACGTAAAAAAGGAGGAACTCTCGACACTCCTGATTTATGAAAGAGTCATCAGAGTGAGTTCTATTTGCCTAGTTTTTAGATTCCGAACGATCGAAAATCGACTCTACATGAACACAGAGTCAGGAATTGTTTTGTCAATACCGAACGTATACGAGTTACCCGGAGTCACTTGGAGTGACTCTTTTCATAATTCCGAACTCGCCTTAAATATACTAAGAGTAAACTGAACATGGATATGGCTAATGTGACGACCTAACGTAAATACACTACATTTATGAATAAAGATGTTTTCTTCATTGTCAATGATGTTCAATTGAATTGATTCAGCATTGAATTGTCGTTTATGAAGTTGGTATTTTTTCATTACTACTGAATCAACAATTCAATGTTTTTAATATCTGCACATCTGAATAGCTTTCTATAACTTTAAGGTGATATTGAATTTTCGGTAAATGCTATTTCGTAACGAAGTACTTCTGTATCTCAAGCATCATCTCGGAAATTATTACAATAAACTTCAATGATACATGCACAATCATTCTAATTTCAAATATTTTCCCACTCGAATATTTAAGGTTATGTGTATCGCACCGTCCTACAAGCACAGATCTGAAAACTCAAACTTTGAGCGAGCAAATAGCTAGTTTGAAAGCCACTGGAAATCATGTATATATCCCTATTATAAACAATAATGTTTCTTGGGGTAATAAAGACAATCAATGTCTCCACTAAAGTTTGCTCTTGAAATTCTCAGTGGACCACGCAAAACTCACTCAGTGTCAAAAAAATTTAAGCTAGTGCGACAAGTGGAAAACGCTATAAGTTATTGAACACTCCGCACACAGACTGACTTACACGCCATATGAGTCAAGCACTCTGAAGATCCTCACCTTCTCGATGTGTTTCTGCAAGTTCCTAACCCCACTCTCCCTGCAATAGCTCTTGATGAGGCTAGTCAGAGCCTCGTCCTCGACCTGGATCGTGTCGTCCTTCAGACCGCTGTCTTTCATCGCCTGCGGCAGCAGATACTGCTTGGCGATGGCCAGTTTTTCTTCGGCCACGTAACCCGACATGTCGATCATCTTTTTTTCGAACGAACATTTATTTATTAATGATAATAATAAAAACAATAAACATAATCACCGCGGTCCGACACGCACTCAAAACGCTTTGAGCGCGCTATGATTGGTCCGATTAACGCTTAGAACGCTTGTAAATATTCACCGTGAGTCATTATGACGTCATGGATTACGTCACTCTTCGCGCTCAGAGTGCACACAGTTCCGAAGTGAAGCGATCTAAGCGCTGCTATCAATAGTGTCACTACTGTCACTTGAAACTTGAAAAAGTGAACATGGGGAAGAAAGGCCTAATATAAGTACTGTTATACAGAATACAATGACAACTCTCTCTTCATAATTTTTGATTCGAGGTATTAGAATCAATTAATCTCTATTACATAAGAAATTGAACAAAGGCGTTATATTATACAACTGCCGCATCGGCTTCCTCCTCATCAATACTCGACGAAGAAATATTATTTTGATAACGGCGCTATCGTCATCACTGGGTCAATAATGAGAGAAATATTCACCAAAGTTTCTCCATTTTTGCATGGACTATGATTTTTGTTGGTAAAGAAATAAATTTTCATGTGAGGTTATGTAACGATCGTGGTAACGAATTTCATGAGCGCTTAAAATCCGGTCCAAATCAATAGTCGTTAAAGCGTGCAAACCAATTCGGACCAGCAGCGTCTAACGCTAGCGCGCTCGAAACAATAAGCTCAATTCGGACCGCGGGGAATGATGATACTAGTATACAATACATACAAGGTGTCCGGAAAGGTCATGTGGTAAATGATAGAGCTGATAGAGTAAGCCAAAATAATGTTAGTTCTTCATATAAAAAAAAAGTATATCGCCCTTTTTTACGGAGTTATTGACCTTGAAAGTTTCTGCCATAGTCTGCCAAGTCCATACATAAGATGAATATGTGCGATATTAGCATGGCGCCATTCCACTGGAATAAACTGAATATTTAGTCTTCAAAAAAGAGCCGTCAGAATAATAGGGAATAAAAATTACAGACGATACAAAGAATACTTTCATTGCCTACAGAATACTCTCACTTCCATGTGTCTATGCACTGCAATATATCACCTATGCCCACAACCCACAACCATACAAATAACTTCAAAACTGAGTAACATAATCATGAAACTAAATTCAGAAATAATATCTTTCCAGATAACTATAGACTAGCTAGGGAACAAACAGACATTGATCACTATGGTACTAAGCTTTTCAATCTTTTGCCGACCAATATAAGAGCCCTAACAGTGATATTTTTCAAAAACAAAATCAAGGAATTCCTAACTAATAATGCATTTTTCTCTCTTGATGAGGTAGAATCAGGTATAATAAACATCACTTAGACAAGAGTCTCTTTCTTAATGTATTTCATGTCTTCTCATTACATTTCCAGTTTCTTTTTTCATAAAGTATTATGTGTTTCATTGATATAATATAATTTTTAAATGAACTTGTCTTATCTCTTTTTTTTTAATGAATATTTTTCACAATATTATTTTTTCTGTATAACTCATCCATGGTGTCGCGGAAGTATTAAATACTGTCAAAATAACTTGATGTGAATTATGACAATGATTGCAAGTACCATGATGTTATTGAATGAATAGAGTTTATAATTTCTACCTTTGCGACGGTTGGGATGTATGTTTAAATGGTTTTGAAATGCGATTTTCTCTAGAACGGTAGAAGATATCGATTGCAATAAGGTATATTTGTAGAAGAAAGATGGAAGGGATCAAACGGTGAAAGTAAAATGTCAAATTTGTCACCTCTGTCAAAAATGCCTCCATTAAACGAAAAAAACTTCGTCCCATCCTGTATAGAACATAATCACTGAACAGCCGTTAACATACGAAAGAAGCATTAGTATGAGTTGATTTAGTTGCCCGAATATCATTGATACCATGGCAACCGTTTGAAAGTTATACATGAAATAATTTTTTTTCTGCAACCGACACCAAAGTCCATTTTAATATAAAAAGTAGCTCTGAATTGACGTTTCTATAACTGACATTTAGTTCCTAGGAGCTTAAGTTAAACTTTAGCCTACTACTACTTTAGGAACTAAAGAGGATGTACTAGAAGTCATCAAAAAGAAACATTGTTACGGTTGGTTATTTGGGTTGGGACGCATACCTGATTTGATTCCGATTTCGGAAGATTTGGTATTTCATACCCATGCTGGAGATATAAATACACCATATTATAGTCAAGTATTTTTGTTTTGATCAGGAAAGCCTTCAAGATTCACATACTTGCTTGATCTGTATTTCATTCGTTATTCTCGGGATGGGTAACTTGTTTTTGTCTCAAACAACGGTATCGTTTACCTTCATTCGAGTATCGAGCCAAACACAGTGTAGTAAGGTGATAAATAAGTAATCGCTAGTATTATTGTTGACATGCTCACTAACCTAACGTTTCCACGCCTTTTTCCTATGAAGTACTGACATTATTTCGGCTCAGCCCTATCATTTACGACATGAACTTTCCGGACACCCTATATATTTTATTATTCAGGGTTATTCACGTTATTTGACACGAAACATAGTGGCTGAAGTATTCGCTTTCTTTGAGATTTTTTTTCCGATGAATAGTGACCTATCAGCGCATTTTGAAAATATTTTTGTTGTACAGGGTGTGCCAAAAACACGAAATGTAACGAAGTTGCTATTTTTTGAATGGAATACCCTGTATATCATTGCATTTTTAGATTCTCTGTGAAGAACAGATTCGATCAATTTACCACATTTGGTGTCTAGCGGAAATGGTTACAGTGATATAGGATGTACAAAATGGAGATTTACTTTTGATTCACTATCTACTTACATTCAATTGGAACATATACAGGACTAAAGGACCTCAGGACTAAAGTGTTTTTGAACCCCTCGACAAATTATTGCCCTCCCTTTTGGTCGGGCTATAAACCTTTTTGTCTCGGGATTCAAAATACCACTTTAATCCCTAGGTGTACTATTGTTGGTTAGTTTCATAAATAAATCATTTGAAAATGGCTTGTTCTTTGGGGAAGGCGGAAAAATCACAGTATAACATGGGGGTAAAGTACTGCCCTCCGCTACGCGTCGGAAGGAAAAGTAGCACTTTCCTCCCTTGTTATACAAATAGCTATACCTCCATGCGGTCTCTCAACGGTTCCGGTATGGTTTCCACTATGTTCGCGGTGCAGATGAAGAGTACTTTGGAGAGGTCGACGGGCACGTCGAGATAGTGGTCGAGGAAGTTGGCGTTCTGCTCTGGGTCGAGCAGTTCCAGGAGAGCGGAGCTCGGATCGCCCGAATAGCCCCTGAGGAAGTAATATAACCGACATAAATTATTACTGTAGTATCACGATAATCCGGAACAATCCGAACCGGACCAATTCGGATTTTCAAGACATTTTATCAACTTTCAACACTACATATACCAGGTGTACCACTAAGAAAGGACGCCGGCTGTATCTCGGAAACGAGTTTTCATGACGACCGGTAGAGGGCATAATTGTATTGGCTAATTTGAAAAACAGGATTTTGTGAGAATTTACTATATCAAGGTATGTCAAAAACACTTTTTTCATGATCTTTTTCATGTTTATCAAAAAATATTGCGCTTTTTACGTTGGGAATGAGCTCTGAAATTCAACAATTTTGTACAACGGATAGACTCATTATTCCAGTTCCCTAATAACACAGTGGAGTAATTGAATGCCAATAATTCATTATCAGTCTACTCGCCCATTGTGGAAATACGAAAACTTACTTTCCTATTTTGTCCACTTCATCGATGAGTATCAACGGGTTTTCCGTCCTCGTCTTTTTCAGACACTGAATCACTTTTCCGGGCATCGCCCCCACGTACGTTCTCCGGTGACCTTTGATCTCTGCCACGTCCGTCATACCGCCTACAGAGAATCTGAAATACTCTCTGTTCAGCGCCCTCGCGATAGATCGTGCTGAAAAAATAATCTTCAAGTAAAATAATAAATTTTTGAATTGACTCGGTTGTTACTTGATAGAAATCTATAGAAAATGTAAAAACTCCACGAACGATGAGATGTCCACAAAATTATTAATCATACCACATGTTTCGCGCAGTAGCTTCATCAGGTGCAATACTGGTACAATGAAATAAACTAACCTTGGCTTGCCTGAACTTATAAATATCCATATTCAACAGTGGTGACCTATTGAGGTCTAGTCGATCGTCAAGTAAAATGTTAGAATTTTTTAGTCTGTTGATTCAAAATGATTGAGTTTTATTCCCTAATTTTCTACGTGTAGAATTTCGAAATTATCATCAAAACTATGGTTTTCTTTTGGTCTATTTCTCGCTCAGTTTTGTTTCATTGCCGTGGCGGTTTTGTGAATATCGAATACATTTACAGAAGGAAAATATTCTTCAAATTATCCGTAAAAATAGACTCCTTCCTTCCACATTCGAAAAGTGAAATTTTTGACTTTGTATATTCTGACAGAAAATCTGATTCGACGGCTATCGACTGAAAAAACAAATCATGAAATTAGTTTTCAAAGTATTTCCGAAGTAAGAACTGTCTATAAAATCCTGATTTGCACAAACTGAATGATAATGAAATCCCATATGATGCGGACTTCAACGGTGGCACTGTATACTAAATTTCTTTTCACCCCACCCTGTATACCAACTATCGATATCGGATATAGTCATACTTTTTCGAGAATTAATCGGTTGAAAGGATGACGAAACTAACTAGTCATTAGAATGAATAAACAAACCAATCAGCAGTCTCGTTCTAAATTTCGTCGCGTACGGTCGATTCAAGTGATATAAAAAATAACTCGAATTATTCAAGAAAGGAAAATTAAAATTCATATTTGGTATTTATTTTTATTTGAGTGTGTGGAAGTTGTGTTAAGATAGTAAGTGTTTTTGTACATGAATATGGAGATTATTCATCACGTGGTTGGTATTTTGCTTCGGTGTATTTCCATATAACGATGAAAAAAATTAAATTCGCTTTCTATACCTATACCATTTTTTCCATCATTTTCATGAATTATTCAGGAAAACGAAAACATATGGAACGGTTCATGAATATCTCTATATTGTTGGTGACACTGTATACGGAATTCATTTCACCGCATTATTTCCAAGATGTGCCACTTTGAAATCGTTTATATCCAAAACATGACAGGAACTTTCTATGAAATCCTCATTTGCACAAATTAGATAATAAAAAATCCCATATGATGCGAGCTTCAAGAATGGCAATGTATATCAAATTTCTTTTCACCCCACCCCGTATATCGATATCGGAGTCATACTTGTTCGGGACTTCATCGGTTGAAAAGATGACGTTACTAATTCGTCATTGGAATGATGAATCAAACCAATAAGCAGTCTCGTTATAGATTTCATCGCGCACGGTCGATTCATGTGAAAAAATAACTGGAATTATTTAAGAATGGAAAATCAAAATTCATATTTGGTTTATTGATTGTATTTTCATATCAGTGTGTGAAAGTTGATTTATTTCAAGATGGCATCGTTGACTGAAGCAAGTTGCCATAGATCACTTGAAGCAGGATTCATTTGCTCCGCAAATTTTCAGGAAACAGAGAAATCAAATCAGATTGATCAAGTTGGATGACAAATGGAAACAAAGAAAATGGCATAAAATGCAACAATAATGTATAAATATGGCAAAAAAGAGTAGAATTGTCAACATTGCCGAGGTAATAGACGCGAATTCGGACATCATTCTCGAATAATGCCAACAGTTTCATCATTTTATCAACTTATTGTTTTCTCTCGGTCAACATAAACGATCAAAACCTCCAATCAAGATCAAAACAAATTTGGAAATTACTCAGATTAGGCTATGTTCAGAAATGATTTGTGCCACTGCTTTGTGTTCGTTTGTGTTGAGCAGTAAATCAAGCTTTCAATTTGTTTGAGTTGAGCAAGAGATACATGCTCCTGCTGGATCATAGAAATCAATTCAGTGATAGCAGGTTACGTGATCCTCATGATTTTTCGAGCATGTTGAGCTATTCAAACGAGCTGGCATTTAGAATCTACCACTATTTATTCAGCAATCAGAGATTTGAGTTCAACGTAATGGCAAAAACTATTCTGATTGGTTTGCATATAGTCATGTCCATAGGAATTCTTGCCAATAAAATACAAAACGGATAAATTCATTACCGATACTGGTTTTTCCCACTCCGGGCGGACCATGGAAACACAATATTTTGCCCTGCGTGCTACCCTTCAGCTGGCTGACGGCGATGAACTCCAAAATCCGACGTTTTATGTCCTCCATGCCGTAATGGTCCTGGTCCAGAATTTCACCGGCCCTTTGCAAGTTCAGGTTCTCTTCGCTTTGCACACCCCATGGAAGCGACGTCAACCAGTCGAGATAATTTCTCGTGACGCTAGAACGAGAAACGAGAATAGGCAAATGGACTCGATCTTTCTTTATTTTTTGAATATATCATCACTCAAATACCTTTCAGAGAGAGAGAGAGAGCAATAATCTTTATTGGGAGATTCCCCAAAAGGCTATCGACCGGAGTCTTTCAGCCTATTCACAAACTAATACACTATGATTTCCAAATATACATGATAAATGAATTTGACACTACATAATAAAAAAAATCTAATAGAATATAGACAGATAAAAAAACAATTTAACCAGTTAATCACGAAATATTAGTCTTCCTGTTGCAGCTGGATTAATTCTTGGTAGATGGTGGTTTCTAGATATTTATGTTTTCGTCGGAAGTTTACTGGGGTGGAAATGATTTGTGATGTAATGATCGGGATGTTGTTGGTAGCTTTTGCAAATATGTTTTTATCTCTTGAATATAATCATGCCTCAAATACCTTTCAATTTCATATTTTATAAGAATTTTCCGGCCGATTTGTAGGTGCTGAAATCATCAATAATGACACGGTCAGACGGAGGCAGACGATAGCACAGTTGCCATGTGTTGAAATACGATTGGGAACTTCAGACATATTAGTTATTCAATAATTCATAAATTCTCAATTGAGTATTGGTAATATTCCTAACTAGCAGTAAAAAGTCAATTGTCTCAAAATGTCCCTTTATGATTTGTGGCTTATTGCTTATAATGAATTTGTGTTAATAATAATTATATTAATTCACACTAGAGGACATTTGTTCCAGTAAACGTGACAACACGGCTAGGATTGTGGGCGTTGCCTTGTCAGTTCTCAGCATTCAGCACATGTTGTCAAGTCTCCTGTTAACATTTACATGATGTTTTGTTATTGAGTATGAGAGATATTTTGACAAGCTGGTTGCTCTAAAGTCACAAATGAATAACTATAATATAATGCCTTCCTCCAACTAGGTCAAGTGAAATATTTAATTTGGATGAAGTTTTACCTCGAGTTTTACCCGGTTTTACCTATTCAACTACAGCACTCTTAACAACTTTTTGATAACTTTATTGGTTACTTGACAACCTAGCTTCATGAGTGGAAATGAAAGATTATTTGACGTATCCAACGTATACCAGAACATGGCCCAATGGCGGCCACGACGGCACGTTTGAAATTAACTCTGAAATTCAATAATTTCGAACAACCCATAGACACATTATCTACATAAAAAACGCGTGAGTATTGCAAAAATTATTTTAGGTCCCTAACTAGGTCCCCAACTACAAGATGGGTCAAAAGAAGTCATATGATGTTGTTTGGCTCTCATTTTTATTCTGAATAAAAAGCTTCGATTTTATTTTTTGATCATGTTTATTTGAACCTTTGGAATCCTATTGGTCAAGACCGTCACAAATGATTGTTATATGGGCTCGTTCTATGGCATTTTTGCTTCGGCGAGAACTTCGGGCGACAGATTCTCGCACTCGTGTCGAATGTTGTCCCATAGGGCTTCCAGGGTCTCGGGCTTGTTCACGTAAACACGGGAATTCAAAAAACAACACAAAAAAGTCTGAAAAGGTTAAATCGGGCGATCTTGCGGGCCAGTGCAAATCACCAAAACGAGAGATGAGGCGACCCGGGAACGCCGCCTTCAGAATATCTTTTGTGGCTCGCGCAGTGTGTGCCTTTGCTTCGTCCTGTAGGAACCACATGTCCTCCAGTCCTAATTCGTTCAATTGCGGCAGAAAAAACTCGGTTAACATGGCCCTATAGCGCGCACCGTCCACTGTTGTCGTTTGACCAGCGGCGTCCTCGAAAAAAAAATGGCCCGATGACTCCTTCAGCGTGAACAGCACACCATGCGGTCACTTCCCAACTAGCATTTTCAGTCACAGGCACCATGGTTCAAGAAACTATTACCTATATTTAGTGATAATAACGTATTTATCACTTATTTCAGAACTTCATAGTATAAATGTCAGTGATAGTTATTTAGTGAGTGAAAATTACGTAGTTTTTACACTAGATAATAACTTCAAAGTGAGAAATTCTCATGGCTTATTACGAAGTAACTATTTCGAAACTGTCACTCCTCAAAACTACTCTTAAGGTTTCGGAACTTTGGATATATTATTACGGTAACGCTTACCACCCCAAGAAGGCTTCACAGTTGCAATTACTCTATGGTCACCAATTAGGTTTCTACGACGTTGTCGTTACTTGATCGATCACCTAATAATTTAGTCAATTCTTGGTGATATTTCAAGTAACATATTGGTAATTCCTACTCAAACAATTCCTTCATAGTTGAAACAACTTTTCGGTAATTATATTCAGTTGAAGTTACCAATACATAGGTTATCATAACTGACGAGTTCCAAAAGTAACTTTCTGATTCATTTTCGATTGGAAGCCATATTGATTGATGTGATAACCATTTGAACAGGAAATAATTTTGGTTTTTCTTGTTGATAAACATCATTTTATGAAGAATAATAGCATTCGTTCGATCACAAATTGCATAATAATGGAAATTAACATGATTTACGATGATTTTTGAAAAATAGCCGAATGAAATAAAACCATATTTTTGGTGAAATGAGCCGTATTTTGTGGGCGCATCTTGAATTTCGAGGCAAAATCATCACATTTATCGAAAAACTGAATGTTGTTCGAATTTTTCAAGTTCGAGTATCAATTATTTCGCGTGTTTGTCCTTGTATTATTTATTGAATGGTTAGGCATATTGGACTTGTTCATTTTTCGTGAATGTGAACTTCATGGATGAAATGAAGAATAATAAAGAGAGAAAATAATATTTTTATGAAGTGGAAAAGAAATAGAAAGTCAGGTAGGAAAATTTACTACATCTTTACGTAATTTCGACGTCGACGGGTCGTAAGCATTACGTAATTGTGTGAGTTCCCGCTACGTCGGCAAACCGTAATAATTACTCGTGATTTGTTCCCCATTTTGGTCGTAAATACGTAGTAACGACGTAATTATAACGTAACCGCAACTAGTAAATATTACTTAATAGTCGACCCAATAGTCGTAATTACGTAATCGCGACTATAAATGCTAGTTGGGTTTGAGCGGGTGTAATGGCTCCTCGTGCATCACTCGTGATTTTCGGTGCCCCAGAAGCGATAGTTTTGCTTGTTCACGTACCCGCTGAGGTGGAAATGAGCCTCATCGCTCATTATGATTTTCCACGCGTTTGGCGGTCGACAGGCAGCATGTGATGCAGGGACTGGACTTTGTACGGGAACATGCGCAGGTCTTTGACCAAAATTCGCTTTAGGGACGACCGGCTGATGGCTAATTGCGAGGCACGGCGTCTGGTCGATGTTTCTGGCGACAGCTCAACATCCTCGGCAACAGCGGCGATATTCTCGGTAGAACGGGCGCTCCGGGGCTCATTTTTGTATCGAGCACCCAGGATACCGCATTCGGTACGCCCGATCTTGGCACGTATCGAGCGCTCGGTAGTATGACAACATTCGGACTACCGTACGCTCGATTAGCTGAAGTATTGGTGTATACTAGACTACAAAATAAATAATGACGTATGGAATTATGAGTAGAATAATGAAATGAAATTTTTCACTGAAACAGGCCCATTATTGCTAGTTATTTATGTGCCAAGGACGAAAAACAGTTATTGTCAACTCAATCGCCGCTCTCGCACCGCGCCGTATCATAGTGACCACAGCGGACGGGAAGTTAGTGGCTGCGGACGAAAAGAAAAGCACTTGCCTTCAAAACTAGTCGATTTTTCATTCGGAAATTAGTAAGTTCGAGGTTGAATTAAATCTTGTTAAAAATTATATAGTGATTCATTTGAAACATTGAAATTGACTACTCATTTTTTGTAGAGGTGGCAACATCTCAATTCTGAGCCTCCCATCAATCGTGTCAGTCATTAAAGAACGAAACATCAAGACTTTCGAAAAAGCTGAGGTTCATGAGAATCAGCTTCTTCGAAATGCAGTTGATTATGACCCAGGTGATCAATCAAACTTCAAAAGACCGAGATTGTCCATAAACTAGGGAAAATATCGACATTATGACCAAATTTACTATTCTCAAGTTTATGATATTTATTTATTCCGTTCGATCTCTTTCAATTCTCAGAATGTATTTCTGAAACATATTTGGGACAGAAGGGCTGTTCGCATCAAACTTCAATACCGTTTTTATTTTGTTCCATAATAGATATCAGGATAAGAGGGACTCTTCCCTGGTCTGAATAAAATAAAAGAAAGATCCAATATATATATATACTAAGGTTTGTTAGGTTATGCAGATGAAAAAATTTGCTCATTCACTCACCTCAGCTTCTTGTTCAGTTTTAAATCGTGTTCGTATTTCACTGGAATTGACAACATGATATGTATAATCATGAGGCCACTCCATCCATGATTCATTCATTATTTAAAAAAGTGAACAGATGATGAAAAACCTTTGCTAATTCAAAATGTCTTCTTCTTCTATGAAGGAAGAAATGCGTGAAATACTTCAGCCAATCGAGCGTACGGTAGTCCGAATTTTGTCGTACTACCGAGCGCTCGATACGTGCCGAGATCGGGCGTACCGAATGCGGTATCCTACGTGTTCTATACAAAAATGCCGGGGCCGGCCACTCTTGGCAGCGTCTCGTGTGGTCCCATACTCCTCAAGGTTGGTGGCCAAACGGCGCAGTGTTTGCGCAGTCGATGTCAGACGACCGGGGAATCGGCGACGGAATTCACGCTGCGCCAACACCACAGACGAATTGTTACGCAAAAAAAAAGACACGATTCTACATCTGTCTAGTTCACAAATGTCAAAACAGATTTGACATTGGCCGCCATTTGGGAAAATAGGAGCATCTTCCAATAGGGTGATTTCTTTTGGCCCACCTAGTATAATTCATGGCTTGGTAATGTGTCGACCAAGTTATGCTGCGCTTTGGCAAGGTTGGTGTAGCAACATCAATGATCTAATGATATCAAACTCCTAGATAGTGTCTGAACATAGATCTAAATACACACTTAGATCTATGGTCTGAAGAAAGAGGAATGTAGTTGTACACACTAGTCAAATGCACGCCACAAACCTATTTCATATTGATCATTCAGTGTTATTTGAAAAAGAAGAAAAGGACATTGCAAATATTTTTTTTCAATAATGAAATTCGGCATCTTCGGATAACACCAGCTTCGATGACGTCATGAACGGAACTGAAAATCATCGTTATCTGAATGCTGCCTTTCGCAACAAAAGTAGGACCACATATTTCGAGGCTACCAGATTTGTAACTAGTAATTACTTCATGAGATTCAATATAACCAATGACAACAGTATTGGCATTCACAGAAGACAATGCTTCAGTACCAATAACAATATCCTAGTATTCCTAATGATGATCAAATTTTGTGGCACTGGCAACACCGTAATACCTGAAGTTCCCAACAACATATAATCTTCAAAAGTTCAAAAAAAATTCCAATACCTACCTCTTGTCCCTATCCTCCCTAGGAACGCACGATGTTTTTTGAACTTTATAGGGATTCCCTTTCGTGCGCTCCAAGCGATAAAAAAAAAAAACATTGCCATCCTAACTTCCTACTGTTACCTTCATCTTCAAATCCTTGTTTCATCTTGTCAAAATGCGAATATTCAAAGATACTCCTCTTATTATCTGATTCTTCAGTTGTGTGTTGTGTTCTCTGTTATCTGCATTAAGTATTCAGTCCAGAAAATTTACTAGAGTCTAGGGCGAGCACCTTCTGAGGAGACGAACTTTTTTCATATTTTGATTGAAATGACATCAAAATATTCTTGCACTTGTCTTACAGAGATAGAGAATAGATACGAATGACGAAATTTTCGGATGATTACGTCACGCGTTTTCCAGCGTTTTTCATGTTATAAAATATTGTGAATTTCAATTATTATTTGAAAAATGTACAGAGCTCTGGGGAAAAGTCAGGTTGCACCAGTGAAATAATTATGGTTTGTACTTCTAAATAATGAAATGAAATTTTTCACTGAAACAGGCCAATTGACAACATGAAAATGGGGTGCAAGGAGCATTAGAAACACTCGGAAAATGAAAAATATTTACTAAATTTCCTTGAAACATAACAACTGGCAACACAGGAAGAAGGCTTGTGACGTCAGTACTGGCTAGAAAAATTTGATGCCAAATGGTCTATTTAAAGTTTTATGAAATTTTAGTGTATTCCAATGTTGTTCTTGGAAATATCTCAGTGTTTCTGTATCTTTTCATAAAATCATTGTATTCATGTTATGTTACTATACTATATTTCATTTTTATTGGTTTCATGAGTTTATGTTCTTACCCATTGAAGGGTTTGTAGGGTTTGTAGACAAAGCTGAATTAGGAAGACAGTTTGAATACATTTTTCTCTCAAATTGCTTTTTCATTATTTATTTATTTAATTAACTGATTCAACTTTACAATAAAAATCAATTACATATGAACAAGATGGCAGAATTAAGGACAATAACATCACAGCATCATTAAATGAAATTCAACAAAAAAAAATTGAACTTTATGTAAACACTACAATTTGTTGTTGAAACTATTTCCTGAGTACTGCCATCAATCATAATGTCATTTCAATTTCTTACAAGTTTCACTTCATAAGGTTTTCTTTGATTATTATATACCAATATGTATACTTCCAATTTATATTTCATGAACATTTTGAATGGATTATTATTATTGGGAAACTTTCAGGTACAATGAATGTACCCAATCAATCAATCAATCAATCTTTATTTCAATCTTTGCTATAAACATTACATTGCATCTCATATAAATATAAATATAATCATTAACATTTACAATGGAATAACATGAATAATCAGACAGATTCATATCTGGTATGAGATTATTCATGCATTATCAAATTAAATTATAGTAGTTATTGAAATAAACAACAGAATATGAAAAAAATAAATAAAACAAAAAGCTCATGAAATAGTATATTATGTAACAAGTGTTATAAACGTCCTTTTAGTAACGAGTATTTTAAGCACGAGCGGAGCAGAGCGGAGCGAGTGTTTAATAAACGAGTGTCTAGAAGAGTTTATAAACGCGTTACATACTATGATTTTTCTACGAACTCCGAAAATTACATTAACATACCTGCTATTCTTGCTAACCTACAAAATAATTCGAAAGGAATGGGACTTGAGAACATAATACATGCAACTGCATACAACCAGCGAGACACGTATAAGTGATATTGGTTGTAGATGTGTTCAGTCCATTGCTTACTAACCTTTGTTTCACATTTTTGTCATGCTTAGCGCAGAATAAATAAATTGTTCTCAAAGATGGATGCTTCATTTTTACACTTCTTGGAGATATGCAAGTACCAGAACATTCTCTCCGATTACACTTTCGTCTATACTTTTCGCATATATTTTTAATGAAGAATTCTGATACAAACGAATATTGTTTGAATGATTCTGATACAAAATTTGAAAATAATAGTTGACAGTTAATACAACTGACAGGCCAGACATGTCTCAAACTACTGAAGCTGTGTTTAATGTGTTGCCATGGTGAATGTGTTTAAGAAATCGTGTTGCCATGGTAACGTGTTTAATATTCTGAATAAATCACAGATCGACAATCCGTGATTAATCGATCATTTAGCGTGGTACATATCCGTATGCTAAATGCCATTTTAGTTATGTGAGTAGAAAAAGTACATTATGACATGATGACATAAATTAGTCAATGAGAAATCATTCACTCAGGTTTGATTTTCTCTTTGCAAGAGGATATGTTTCTTGACTTTGATTTTGAATTGGGTGATATTTGTGCAACTTTTGATATCATCAGGTAATTTATTGAATTTTGAGATAGCTCCGTGAGTGAACTTTTTTTGACCAAGTGTAGAATGAGCAGCATCAAGATGAAACAAGTCATATTGTCTAGTATGATGTTCATGGATTTGAGAATTCCTTACCAATATGAAGTTAGATTTGAGGTGTTTGTTGATAATATCAAAAGAAATTTTGAGAGTATTTATCAGATAGTGCTCTTCCAAAGAAAATGTATTTGTTTCTTCATAAAGTTGATTTGATGGGGTGTCATATGGAAGACGATACAGTACTTTTAATGCTTTTTTATATAGTACAGATATTTTGTTGAAATTATTCTTGGAACATGAACCCCAAATATTTATGAGATAGTTCATTTTACTAAGGATGTGAGAGTATAGAACGGTATTTGCTATATTTGGGAGAAGTTTTGGACATCTTCTTAAGGCACCAACTAAGGGGGAATTTTTTTCTTTGAGCATGCCAATATGCTAAGTGTTTTAGATTCAGTGGTTATAGACACCTTTGCTTTGAAAATTGAGGCAACAGTTGAATGTCAGTTAAAAATCAACTGTCATCACTACTGGTTGATTGGATAAGGGATGAATTGAAATACCAGATTTTTTTCACTTATAGTTACAATAGAGCTTTTTTTTGGAAGTAAACTTGACATGTATCAATGAGAATCTTGTTGCCTGGCAATTTGACAAAGAAAACTGCCTCTGAAAAAATTACCAGTCCCTAGGACCAGTATTTTTTTCTGTCAGTTTTGTGAGTTAAATAACCTAATGGCAACACATTCAAATTATAAATGCTAGTGTAATTCTGTAAGAAAATTTAATTCATCGAACATTTGTTTATGGTTGGTTGTCATGGTTTCAAAAGTTAGGTTCTGTTATTGTCACTGGAAAAGTTATGGCACACTATTTTCACTGTCATAATGACATAATCAACTAAAATCATTATAATAGAGCTTACTTGAATTCAGAGCTGTGGCCTTCCAGGAAGCCCAACTTATTGAGCTCTTCATCAATTACAGCTGAGACAGCTTGTGGCAGAATTTTGTCTTTGATTCTTTCTCTGAATTTGTCACCAATGGCATCTTTGTCTTCCTTTTCTAAACCCAATTCCTTCTTGATAACCTGAAGATGAAATCTTGTTAGACTCTCTTTCCAAACAATTTTTTTTCATGATACAAAAATATCTATAGGAATAGTGACATAAAAATAAGATGTTGCATTTTCTGATTTTATTTTCATCATTCATTTTGTATCTTAGATAATCATGTATTGGTATATGGTATAAATTCAAGTAGAAGGCAATTTGAAGAGCAATCATATAGCCCAAATATTCAAGATGAATATCATTGCCACAAAATCAAGCCCATATAAAAATAATGAACAAAATAAATATAATTACCAGTAGACACATAAATTAACTGAAAAAAAAAACTTTTATTAAATTATTTGTGGTAACTTCATTAGAATTATGATATACAAATTTTGTGACAAAATAATCATACAATTTTTAATGAGGCCCAGAATCTTGACAGACAGGTCACAAATACTGAAATAAATAATAAATCAGAAACTTATAAGTCAACATTATGTCTCACAACTCACAATAATCAAAATATGCAATATTCTGATTCCATGTCTTGATTGGAAATTTTCATTCAGAATTCTGACTTTTAATTAAGAATTCTAACTTTCAACTCAGAATTACAAGTCATGATCAGGTTTATTATAGGTAACTGGTCTTTCAGAAATTGTCAAGTATGATTCACAGGGTTTTACATTAACTTCTCAGTTTTTTTCAATTTTCCATTAAAACTCCAAAATGATCTCACCTTCAATTGCTCTTGAAGAATGTATTTCCTATGATGTTGTTTAACTTTCTCCTCCACTTCTCTTCCAATTTTTTGTTGCAATTTGGAAAGTTCATACTCTTTTTTCAGTAAAGACAAGGACAGCATAAGTCTCTTTGGAATCTACAAATAAATAATTATAATGATTTCAAAATGCCTGATATTCAAAGACTGACATCCATTTCCTCTAAAACTTCTTGAAGTTCTTTACTTTCAGCTGCAGTCAAAGCAGCCCCTAAGTCACTTAAATACACAGGATTATCTACAACTCTCTGTCCTTGGTGCATCATCTGTTGCAAACTATCTCTGTACAAAGGATTCAAACTTATAATGTCTCTTATTGTTTTGATGACTTCTTGTGTAAGAGCTTTCACTTCTTCAGTTTGCCTGAATTTGTTGTGGATGAGATTTTCAACTTCTGCCATAAGAAGGCCTTCTTTCAATTGTGTTTTAGGTTTTTCCTTAGATTCTTCCAAAGGGGGAGATTCAGGCACATTTTTCTTTATCCTACTATTTCTCATTTTACGTCTAGGTTTTTCATTTTCTGAATCCTCTGGAAATATGTGCAATGTTGTTTTGAATAATGGAAATGTTAGTTTCATTGCTACAGTAAAAGAGATGAATACAATTTGAATATAAAGCTCTGGCATTCTTACCTTGGGGACCATCATCAATAGTATCCAATATTTGTCCAGTAATTTGTATTCTCCTGTGTGCCATCACTACCAATCTCAAGCGGTCTCCTAGATCTTGCATTTCATGAATTTGAGCAAATACCCCAACATTATACACATCATTTATATTATTCACAACTTCAGACTCATTATCCTCTTGTTTTTTAAGGAATATTCCACAATAGGGTTGATTTAGTTTGACTTTTCTCCTTATAAGTTCAATAAGTTGGGGATTGGTAAGTTCTATCAGCTTTATGAACCTTGGGAAAACTATGTTTTTATTAATAGCAATTACAGGAACATGTGGCCAAACTTCAGGAACTGCAACAGTAGCTGGCAGCTGAGGAGAGAAAGATTCTTCTCCAGTAGGTGGATGAATATCATCATCAGAACCATCAGTACTCTTAGTTGCATAATACCTAGCACTAGATATAGATCTTGAATTGATCAATTTTTTTGGTAATATTCTGTGGGAAGTATTAGCATACAGCAATCCTCTGAAACTAGTAGGTACGGTTTTTGATCCACTAGAAGTTAAGGTTAGGATATCATTACTGCATGAATTTTTTACATTTCTGTTCATATGATGTCTAGATAATTTAGATATTAATTGTGTGATTCGCACTGATTTAGCAGAATGCATCATATCAGGAGGTCTTTACGATTTTTTAGAAAATTATTCACAGCACAAATTCAAACAAAAAATGAAAATTGGAAATTCAAGGAAAATTAAAATTCTCCCACCTTCACACGTTTTCTGACATTCTGAATTCTGACTTCTGACTTTGAAATTTGAATCCTTTGACAAGAGTTTGACAGACACACTGACACAGAACTCATGAGTCACACTGTCACAGAACATAAGTCTACTGACAGTGACAAGGACAAGACCCGCTTGGAGCCACTGAGCACTGAGCCATATTTTCTCGGTAAAGTATTTTAAATACTTTGAAAGCATTCTATTTTCTCGATAAAATTATTTCATACAATGACGTCACATCTGTCAGATATTGAAAGTATTTCAAAATCACCTCAAGAGGACAATTCAATAAGAGTGGGGGTACATTAACGAAATGACATAACTGAGACATAACCAACCAAGTTGGGGCCCCCTACTTCAGGATTATTCATTTCAGACAGGAGTTTATTGAAAGAATTTTTCGAAATCCTGGTTTGTCTGAAAAAGTCATAGTCTATGAACTTCGTTATCCAATTTTCCTCCCAAATGGAAGTATGTGGGCTGGAATTGAAAAATAAATATACAGAGTTGAATAATTCTTCATCCTCTTCATTCCACTGATCAATCATCATATTATTAATCAGAAGCAGTATTTGAGCACTTTGTTGCTGATGTAGTATCAATATTGACAAAATATCCATTAATTTCCAATAATATTACAAAATTCTCATGATTTATTTCATAGAAAATAAGGTTATGTTATTTGCTTTTGCTTTATGACGTATATATATATATAATTTTGAAACCATTCGTTTTTGCGATCCTGATAACGATGACGTATCCTTTTGAAATCGTGGTTGAAAATGATTTCAAAACATATAGCGAGAAAATATGGCTCTGAGCTGAAACCTTGGCTGAAGCTGACAGAGCTGTAAAAATAGCTATTCTCTCAAGTTCAGACCACTGTCTTTTTGTTCTTCTTGTTGCATGTGATGAACAAAAATAAATATAAAGCGAGTGCGAAAGAGCTCATCCTCTTCATGCCAATGGAAATCCCCTTCTGAAAAATCACTTTCTTTTTTATCGGCTAGCAAATATTTCAGTTCATCCGCAATAGGTGGCACCACCAAATTTAGTGACGTTTTGACGTCTATTATTGATTGGGAATTTTCTCAGTCGGCAAACGCCATTTTGATTTTATGTGGAAGAATTATTGGTAGTCGTAAAAAGTATTTAAAAATCTGTGTTCATCCTCACCAATTTCACGAAATAAAGGTTTATTTCCTGTTATTCATTGTGAACCCATCTGAACGGACCAAGGTACGGTCAAATTTTCGTACGAAGACTTCGAAAACTTGTATTTTTTGATGCAATGTTTTCATTTTGATAGCGGAATAGAGGAACTACTGAACCGTTATGTCGGACTGTTCTCTTCCTATTTACAATCCAGTGAATATTGTGTCGTGGAAAGAGTGTACAGTGAATTATAAAAGTGATCAAATTGAGAATTATTTTGTTTTTTCCTTCAAATAATGCATTTTTGGGTACACTGGGATGGGCTTTGATTTCCTAGTGTCAAGCCATTGTTTGCACCTACATAGATTAAATTATCTGGATGTTTATTAAAAGTCTGCTCTGAATCTTTGTAGTTCACAGTTTCTTGTTCGTTTTTGTATTTTCTTCTTGAGGTAAACATTCCTCTCCACACACCTTGAAGTTTGTTGTACTGTCAAACAACAAACATTAGTGTTTTCTTGCTCAACTCAGCATGCTCAGTGCTCAATAAACCTACTATAAATATTCAAGATATCTTTAGCCATAAGGGAAATCCACCCAAAGTTGAATTATAACATTCAAACATAGTTGCAACTGAATCAACACATGCATTACCTGCTGGAAATGGACAATTATTTTTCAATAATGATCTCACAATATTGCATTTCAATTGGTTTTTGTTGTTGTAGCAATAAGGTTCGTTCACTGGGTCTTGTACATCTAAATGGTTGTGTGCAGACAGCATGTCTACATTGCCAGGGCAGGCCTCCAAGGGGGAGAAAACCAAATCAAAATTTCAATCTTTGGACATCAATAGTTTATATAGAGTGAGCAGGGTGAGTACAGAATTATTTTAATTTTAATTAGTTGTTTAATATTAAATTCTATAGTTCTTTTATTTTTCATTGTGAAATGCTCAATACTTCAATGTTCCCAAAGAAGCCACATAGCCTTTGCTTGACTATTGTGTCTTGCCATCTTTATTAATATTGATAATTACATGTAAATCAAATGTATATATTCTTCACCCATCTTCTTCTAGTACTAGTTTCAGATTTCAGACTTGATGTCTATTCAAAATATTTTCTGAGATAGTTGGTAGAAACACAGTATTATTCAATCTCTGGTAGATAGAAGGAAGGGAAGCTCAAAGTCATCTCCACCACTTTTTTACTGATGTAAATCAATCAGGGGGGCATGTTTCAGACTTATGAAAGTCCATCTTCAGCCATTTTTAGAAGTTACTGCAAGCGAAGGCATGTGAAAATTACATATTGAAAAAAAACAAAAGTTGACTAACATGTAGGTGAAACAGTAATTTAAACAGTAACCAGTATTTATATTGGTAAAAAGAGGGGTTGAGAATGAGTAGTGGAGATGACTTGAGCTTTCCTTCTTCCTTTTGGAAAGTATTACTGGTTATTTCAGTTATTGTTTGAGAAATAGTTAGTGCATGTACTTGTAATTTGAAGAAAAATATTATGTACCAAATTTACTCAGATGTGTACATCAATTCAATATTTCTAATGAAGCCAGTGACCAAAGTCTCTGAAAAAATAACAGTTTGATTTAGGTCATTCACTTTTCACTCATCCTTTCAAGCAGTATTCATGTATAGAGGAACTGATAGTGTGTCAACTTTTGTCATTCATAAATTTTTGACTGAGTTTTCAGCTAGTAGACTGTAGATTGTAAGGATAATATGATATGTTGATAAAATAAAACTTGGGTATTGATGTATAATACAACCTTGAGCATAATGATAAATTAAATTTCTTGGTACATAATTATACCTTCCTGGAAATTATTCACAAAAATTGTTGACCATAGAAAGATGAATATTTTGTTTCAACAAGTATATTATTGACTGGGTCCCTGGTACATTGAATATTTATTCATACTAATGATTGCCTTGATGATAGCTAAATAAAATGTACTCATAATTACCTAATTTACATCAATTTAATTTTTCTTATGAAGCCAGTGACCAAAGTCTCAGCAAAAACAACAGTTTGATTTAGGTCATTCACTTTTCACTCATTCTTTCAAGCAGTATTCTTGTATAGAGATACTGATAGTGTGTCAACTTTTGTCATTCATAAATTTTTGACTCAGTTCTGAGCCAGTAGATTGTAGATTGTAAGGATGATATGATATGTTGATAAAATAAACCTTGGTTACTGATGTATAGGAAAACCTTGAGCCTATTAATAAATTTAATTTCTTGGGTACATAATTATACCTTCCTGGAAATTATTCACAAAAATTGTTGACCATAGAAAGATGAATATTTTGTTTCAACAAGTATATTATTGACTGGGTCCCTGGTACATTGAATATTTATTCATACTAATGACTGCCTTGATGATAGCTAAAAGTGTAAAATGTACTCATAATTATAAAAAAAATATTATGTACTAATTTACATCAATTTAATTTTTCTAATGAAGCCAGTGACCAAAGTCTCAGCAGAAACAACAGTTTGATTCAGGTCATTCACTTTTCACTCATTCTTTCGAGCAGTATTCTTGTATAGAGATACTGATAGTGTGTCAACTCTTGTCATTCATAAATTTCTGACTCAGTTCTGAGCCAGTAGATTGTAGATTGTAAGGATGATATGATATGTTGATAAAATAAACCTTGGTTATTGATGTATAGGACAACCTTGAGCCTATTAATGAATTCAATTTCTTGGGTACATAATTATACCTTCCTGAAAATTGTTCACAAAAATTGTTGACCTTAGAAAGATGAACATTTTGTTTCAACAGGTATATTTTTGACTGGGTCCCTGGTACATTAAATATTTATTCATACTAATGATTGTCTTGATAGCTAAAAGTGTAAAATGTACTCATGATTAGAATAAAAAAAATCTACCTAATTTACTTGAATGTGTACATCTATTCAATTTTTCTAATGAAGCCAGTGACCAAAGTCTCTGAAAAAATAACAGTTTGATTTAGGTCATTCACTTCTCACTAATTCTTTCAAGCAGTATTCATGTATAGAGAAGCTGATAGTGTGTCAACTTTTGTCATTCATAAATTTTTGACTCAGCTTTGAGCTAGTAGATTGTAAGGATAATATGATATGTTGATAAAATACACCTTGGGTATCAGTTTGGAACTAGTAGATTGTAGATTGTAAGGATAATATGATATGTTAATAAAATAAATCTTGGGTATTGATGTATAGGAAAACCTTGAGCCTATTAATGAATTTAATTCCTTGGGTACATAATTATACCTTCCTGAAAATTATTCACAAAAATTATTATCCATAGAAAGATGAAAATTTTGTCTCAACAAGTATATTTTTGACTGGATCCCTGGTACAATAAACATTTATTCATACTAATGATTGCCTTGATGATACCCAGAAGTGTAAAATTTTTTGTGCAAGTAGAGAACTTTTCTCCAATTTATTACAATAATTAACCAAGCAATTACCTAAATAGATTCTGTTCTTGATATTTTGATGATAGTAGGAATTTCTTGAGGTGGCAAAAAATATTTTAATATAGTACCTAGCAAGCATAGATGAATCAATAGTACTCAAAGAAACATTTAATTATCTATTTACAGGGTGGACAGGACTTGAAACAATTGATTTGAATACATGATTCATATCTTGATTTGAGTTACATGATTTCATCAGAATTTATGATAGGTAGAATAAAAACTGAGTTTCAATGATGGTTTATTATACAAAAAAAACTGCATCTAAGTAATGTATGTTTTAGTTAATTGCATTGCTTGTGTAAGGCAAATTATTCTGAATTATGCTCTATTCCCAGATTTTCCTTCAGTTTTGATAAATTTTTTTATGAAATATAAACAGGTAGATTGAATGTTGTGCAGATTTTTAGGTATGTTTTAAATGTGAAGCAGAAGTCATAAAACCACTCTGCTCACCTATTGGATGGCCAATTATAAAATAATAATGATGCCCAAAGGGAATAATATATATTTTATATAAACATATTATATTATTATTATTAACTATAGGTAAAAATCAATACAAATGAGAAAAAAAAAACAAATAATACCGGTACCAACAATTTTTACCACATAGAGGAAGTCCGAACACCGAACACCGCATCACGAAAAACAAAAAAATTAGTATGACGTCATGACGCGGAATGATTCTAAGTTCATTGAAAAAAAAAATTAGTGACAAGTGTATGTTTTTCGCACGAAATTCGATAGAAAACAAGACAACCAACAAAAAAGTCTTAATACATTGTTACTCAGAATTGCCTCATTACTGAAAAAAAGAAATTGGAAAAGTATTATTTTGTTGAAATTTTTTCCCGAAGTCCCGATATTCATATTTTCCCGAATATCTCCAGAACGGCACAAAATATCGAAAATCGAAAAATACCCCAACACCCCTGTCGACTTTCACAACGGCCTACCACGAGAATCAAAAAAATTAGTATGACGTCATGACGCGAAATAATTCTAAATTTATTGAAAAAAAAAAAAGAGTGACAAGTGTATGTTTTTCGCACGAATTCGATAGAAAACAAGACGACCAACAAAAAAATCTTCATACATTGTTACTCAAAATTGCCTCATTACTGAAAAAAAGAAATTGGAAAAGTATTATTTTGTTGAAATTTTTTCCCGAAGTCCCGATATTCATATTTTCCCGAATATCTGCAGAACGGCACAAAATATCGAAAATCGAAAAATACCCCAACACCCCTGTCGACTTTCACAACGGCCTACCACATGGAGAAAGTCCGAACACCCTATCACGAGAAACAAAAAAATTAGTATGACGTCATGACGCGAAATAATTCTAAGTTTATTGAAAAAAAAACGAGCGACAAGTGTATATTTTCCGCACGAAAGTAGATAGAAAACAGGACGACCAACAAAAAAGTCTCTTATTATCTATATCGGTGACTACGGTTGTGTTTATTTACGGAAAGCCATAGTTATTTGTCAAATTATAGTTTTGATCGTTTTTTAAACATTTATGCTCTGCTAGTATTTGATGGCACCCAGAAGTTCCTAATTATTATGCACAGTAAGTACAAGCAAAGAATGTAGTGTCCCGAAATGGAAAAAAAACGTCATCATACTAAAAATGTATTGAATATTATTAATTTACCTCGTTAAACAAATCCATCGGAACTTAACCCAATAATCAAAATGGGGATATTGTTATTGTTTGTAATTTGTAAATCGAAGAATCAAATCGAAAACTGAAACAAGTCAACGTCAACTCAAACTTACCGAACTTGCCAGAGAAAATCCACGGTCGTTCTAGTGACAGTGAATCTACCGTTTTTTTCAACAACCGAGTTCCGTAAATAACCATTTTTCAGGAAACAACCGATCATTTCATATTTACGGAACTAAAAACTACTTACCGAAATAACCAAGTTGATTTACGGAACATACCCTGTGTATATGAAAATAACATTGTTTTCTGTGACAGAAAAAATGTCTGACATTTCATCTCTGTTGACAGATTATAAAATGTCACTTTTCATAAATTACTCAGTTTATTTTTTTCCCGGATATATATACACCTACACTGTTGATGGCTTTTGTTGTGCTAGTTCAAAAAAATAAGCCAATAACACCGTCTCCGACAAAGAACTACAAGTCCTTTTATCTTCCATTCCACTTCACGGTTACGTAAATTACTAAACAACCACTAAATTAGCAATTTTTGAAAATTAAATCACAGAATTAGACTGACAGATATTTGATAACTCCAAAAGAAAAGGAAGATGAAGATGCATGCAAAATGATGGCGAGTAACTAACCTACACCGTTTCCCCCGCAATCATCTAAATTCTAAGTCATTTTTC